AGTACCCCCTCTGTCAAATGTAATGATGATTCTCCAAAACTGTAATGTATAATAACAGATTATTAAAAGAAAATTATTTATCTAATTCCCTTTAACGTTTAGTTCTCAGGCATTTTATTCTTTTCAACTCTAATCAAACAAAAGATAAAAAATGTTGCCTTGAAAGTGAATAAGTAATTAAATTTATAAACCAGGTAATGGCAGGTGAAGGAAGCAGCAGCATCCAAAACCCATCAGAAACTCGCCCAAATGAGCAAATTCTGTGAGATTCCGCGTTTTTATACAGGATTCCATTTTGTGTCCGTTTTTTGATTCCATCTGCATTTTTCACATTGCAGAAATCATACGGCCCTACATACCTCAGTCCTATTTTTTTTTACACACCTGGGGAATTTTTCCACGTACCCCCTGTAATATGCTACAGGGATACATGCATCCCAGGTTGGGAATGACTGAGATAGAGGGCAGCCCACTCTCTTGTTGTCTAGTGGTAGAGAGACCAACTTTTGTGCAGTGGGCCATGGTTCAGTCCCAGCTAAGCTCTGCTCTCGTCTCACTCAGCTTCTTCACAGCTCTGTGGACTCACGGACAAGAACACAGATTGGCTGTTCCTTTATCGTCACGTTAATGTTCAACAGGAATCAAGACGCAGCAACAAAACAGCTTCTCTCCCTCAACTTCAGCTCTGACATTCAGCTGAGTTCCTCACACCCACAGCCCCAAGGACTCATGTCAGGGCTCAGAGGCTGAATGTCCAAGTATTAACCAGTGGTGGGATGTAACAAAGTACAAGAACTTTGTTGCTGTACTTACGTACATTTTTCATGTATCTGTACTTAAGTAGATTTCATCATGAGTACTTTTGACTTTTACTCCACTACATTTCACATTAAGTATCTGTACTTTCTACTCCACTACATTTCTGTATAACGCGTTGAATTACAAATTACATTCATGACACATCGCATTACGTTTATTTTCTTTTAGTTTGTTTGTTTTTCTTAGTTTGAAAGTAATTAATGACGAGAGGGGAATTGCTGTAATTGGTCAACTGAACCGCTACAAAGCAGGAAAGTACCATTAGACCCTCCTTCAAGAAAAGCGGAGTGATTCTGTATCACCTGCTGGAGCTGCAGCAGCAGCAGCACGCCCAAAATAGATTCCACCATGGAAGAAATGCGCCACTCATGGCCTTATTTGAAAGACTTATTTAAGTTAACTGATTCAAAAAAATGACTTGTTGAGATTTGATAAAGGATGTTGGTGGTGAATTTACAGCTTCTGTAGCTGTAGTCACAATCTGTGATGATGCACAGAATCACAAGTCCAAGTGTGAACAGTATCGTGAACACAAAAACATGTATTATCTGCAGCATTGTTCTTTAAAATGACACCATCGATTTATTAAAAGTATACATACAGTAGTAGGGATGTCCCGATACCACTTTTTCACTTCCGATACGATACCGATATTACAACTTTGAGAAATGTCCGATACCGATATTGACCCGTTACTGTAACAGTGCAAGTCACACACTTTTACCTATTTTGTAGTGTAAAATCTTAGAAAAATCTTGATCAGATCAAACAGTGAAAAAGAGTAGGTATGAGAAAAACTGACCCATTTATTTTAAACCAATGGATGACATATACTCACCGGCCACTTTATTAGGTACACCACGCT